TTTAAATGAATTTGAATCCTGTTCGGATACAATTTATTAGCAGGCCACAAAGAAAATAAAAACTGCTGAGAACCTACACCGATAGGTACCTTTTGAAATTAACTAAACTGTTAATACACAGGGATTCGTTAGGTATAAGACAGACAAATACCTCCCCCCCTACAACATTCACAATCTTCTAAAAATAGATGAATGTGTAATTCAAATTTTGAAATATATAATTGCCATTGACAACTTGATTTAACAATTATACCAGAAATCTTTTGAAACTCAGTAAAACACGAGTTTCAGCCCGTCCAATTGTTGGTAATTGCAAATAAACAAAGACAAGTTATTAAGAAACAAAGAAATTGCCCTCATCCATTTATTAAACGGGTGAGCGCGATGAGAATAGAATAGAAGAGAATTTTAGTTTAAAAGAGCCAAGCACAAAGACAAAATCCAGAGTATTTGATTCCTGGATAGCCTGGGGTATGTGGATTTTCAAGTGTACTCTATACTCCGTCGACGTTCGTGCAATCCTCAGATCAACGAGCTATGATCTGGCGAAGGACCACGATGACGACCACCAAGCCCACTACGACACCGAGCACGCTGATCAATGTTTGCTTCAAACCATTCACACCGCTGACCTCCGAACCGTGTCCCTCTGGTTGGTATGAAAAGTATAAATGAGAAGGTGTAAATGAAAAGCTGGGTGGAGATTAGTTAGGCCTATTTGCAACAAACGATTCAGTTTTCGAAGTAAACCACTATTTATCCAAATTGATAATTTACCGATATATCACTTGCACAAGTATCAACATGGAATTACTGTGTACTCATATTGCAATAATGTTCTTCTCCATAGTTTGAATAACATTTTCTTGATGATTAATGATGTACACGAACATAATTCTATAAATTCATCCACCCCCCCAAAAAAAAAAAAATATATAAAAAAAAAAAAAAAAAAAAAAAATACACATATATATATATATATATATATATAACGTTCAATAATTACTCATTACGGGCCTTTATTTATGGAATTCATTACCTGATTATTTCAAGGAAGCCAAAACATTCCACAGTTAAACTCATGTTCAAAACAACGCTAACTCAGGTAATATATTAAGTCAAACTATTGTTTTATGTTTTTGGTGGGTTTTGTTAGTAGTGCCCCAAGGAAGTAGGCCCTTATGAGGAAGACAGAACCTACTGATATCTTTGTTCACAAACAACAGGAGAGTTGTCTACGACCATGTCACAATCCACAAACCAAATTTTCAATTTGAGATTCGCGTAGATTAAAGTGATCTTGTATCTCACGTATTCATAACTCTATTATTATGGGTCTGATTTACTTTCACCATTGTGTGTCTCTTATTTTGTATGATTTCATACTTTATTACACAGTTTAGATTGCTCCTTAAACATGAGAAAAATAAACAGGTATCCTACCTCCTCCTAATGCCGATGGAACCGTGTCCGATCGGGTCAAGTACACAGGACCGCGAGAGACAACATGGGGAATGGAGTTGAAATCCTGGTCGATGTCCATTTCGTTGACCTCACGACGACCACGGTTGGGGTTCGATTTAAGGCATCCTCTGGAACAACGAGAGTTGACAGCGTTCTCGTAGCAGATGACGGCCTCACAATGAACGTAGATCTGTAATCAACGACAACGCATCGGTTATGAAAGTGAAGGACATACTTTACATAATCATTAAGCAGTTACCTAACACTGATAAATTCGTGTCTTAACTCATTTTCATGTTCTTGAAAGTGCATGTAATGGCTCTCGATAAAAACATAGCTTTGTTACATTTTGCAAATCAACTTCGATGAGGGGTCTGAATGCTGGGCAAGTGCTTTTATCCTCTGCTTTTACTGTTATTGTGTGAAATTACCTGTTCACTGCCGGCAGATAACGTCGATACTTCAAACGAAAATGGCCGGAGTGAAGAACGGATGTTTGTATACATCGTTAGGGTTTCATCGGCTTCACACCTGAAGAGAGAGGGAAAAAAAATAAAGAGAAAATATCAGGAAAAATCAGATATATTTTTCATATGATTATTTTTTCTTAGGCTGGCTAGAAGTCGAGTCTAACAAGTTCTAGCTAATAAACACAAATGGTGGGAGTGACGTGTCCGATATTACAGGGGAGCCATGTATGCCCTTCCTCTTACAGGCCGAGTAAAGACAAGACATGCGCAGAGACTACGGCAGTCCATGCACACCCAACCACTTGTTATGAATTTCTGGATAAGCCTCTGTGATTACCAGCGGTGTATTACAAGTGTACATCTAATCATCTAATTAGGTAACGAACCAACATTCTATGCTGCTAAAAGCAAATACAGAACCCGAAACTTAGTGGACTTGGATGCCGAAGTTTTAAATACTGCTTAGCTGTAACATTTTTGCAGGAGACAATTGTAATTTAATCAAATTTTGATCTAATTTTTAAAATTCTCCTGAGCCAGCACCAGTCTAAACAGACTACACTAACCTATTCAGATAGTTTTTCTCACCTTTCCACAGTCCAGAAACTGGCCAATTTAATTTTGATCTCCACCACACCAACGCAATTGCGACCTTACTTGCTGCCAGCCGAAGATGGCGTAAACTTTAAATCAGAACACCCGGCAAAATAATTGAAAAATCTGGCCGATTTAATTTTGATCTCCACCACACCAACGCAATGCGACCTCCCCCTACTTACTCACTGTCAGCCAAATATGGCGTGATCCTTATATTAGATTAGGACGCCCGGCGTCTTAGGATGGGCCATAGGGCTGGTGAGCGTACGAGTTCCTTGATACTGCCATCTTCGGCGGTGCAGGGAATATAAAGAACCAGCCAGATTCTGGGCTAGCTTCGGGACTAGCCTCTCCACGAGTTTATGCTAATTTCTTTTTCTTTGCAGACGGTGGCCGCGGATGGTTTATGAAGAGTGGATCGGGGATGAACAATCAAATTAACATACTATGCAGCATTATCAAACATGGCTACTAAGGAGTTGGGGATCCACCCATGCTTACCCCCCTCCCCCCCCTATCCCATCCCGAGTTCCGCGGCCCCTTCCTCGAATCTCTTGAGGATTTATTTTCTTCCTTTAATTCACATACCCGCTGCTTATCAGACTTTGCTGCTGTTTATCTAAAGGATCGGACGATGGCGTGGCCCAGCAGTCCTCAATATAGAACACGAAACCCGGATCGGTTGTCAGATTAACAGCGTAGAAGAGCCGCTGATTCGGAACCACACTCGAAGTCTCATTCAGTGGCTGCGTGAAACTGGAATCGGTGAAACGCTGGAGATCAAGCAAAAATTTCGGATACCCGGTTTCGCTGATCTCATTCGCATCTTCCACAACGTTGGTTGGCAGGCTGGATAATGTTTGACGTCGGTTCAGCTGACAGCGGGTCTGGATGACGATCTGTTTCTTATCGCGGGTTATCAATGTTCCAGGGATAAGAATAGCGTGGCTATACTCCACCGTGTTGGAGTAGATGATGTAATCATCGTTGTACTGATTATTCAAGAAAAAGAAAAAAAAAAATCGAAACGAGGGTTAGGCCTACTTGTATTTCATTCGGCTTGATCTTTAAAGGTTTTTGTACTCAATTTTTAAGAAAAAACTTCAAATGAGTAGAGAATCAATTTTCAAATACGTGTAATTTTGATTCACGGATCTATGTCAGATTATATTACATTCAATATTTCTGAAAATAAATAATCCGAAGGAAAAATAATCGAACGCACGTGTTGCACATGTCGGTTATGTGTTTGTTTTTGTTTAAACAATATTTAAATGGGTGTCTGAACGAATCCTTAATTTAAACATTTTCGTGATTTAGGTTTAATAGATACGTTCTTTCCTATCAATAATTGTTTCATGTAATTTTTTTGAACATCTTGTTATTTTGTTATATATCAATGAAACAGAATGCCTTTGATTTTATTACTAATCTAAATCTAATTTTAGGAAACCATTGAAAATAATCTCATTGTTAGCCTCAATATGCATCCTCTCTCTCTCTCTCTCTCTCTCTCTTTCTCTCTCTCTCTTTATGTCTCTCTTTCTCTATTTCTCTCTCTGTCTCTGTCTCTCTCTCTCTCTCTCTCTCTCTCTTGTACGACATCAGTGGAAATATATTAGACTAATAAAATCAATCAATCAATAAACCTCTTTCTGGGTCTTGCACTTGTCGTATCGGGTGGAGAGAGCGATGTTGTCGGAATCTCTCTCTCTCTCTCTCTCTCTCTCTCTCTCTCTCTTGCATATGTAATGACATTAGGGCTTGTTGCATAAAACTTACCATTGATGGTAACTTAGCCATCAATGGCAACTACCATGTTAACAGGGCTCAACAACCAATACAAACCAAGGTTTCCAAGGGTAGTTACCGGGATAGTTACCACTGATGGCAAAGTTACCATCAATGGTAACTTTTGTGCAACGGGGCCCAGTATATATAATTGAATAATAAAATCAATTTACCTCTTTCTGTGTCTTGCACTTGTCGTATCGGGTGGAGAGAGCGATTTGGTCCGCATCATGATGGAATCCAAAGCAACTTTCGTCTTTGAACCTCAAGGTCATTGGGTCGATGTCAGGTGCAAAGAGGGACCTGTTGAGGTAGACCGTCATATGCGTACTGTCACATACAACAGTGACACCTGTAGAGAGAGAGAGAGAGATAGAGAGGAGAGAGAGAGATAGAGATAGAGATGAGAGAAAGAGAGAGAGAGAGAGAGAGAGAGAGAGAGAGAGATTGGAAGATAGAGAGAGGGGGAGAGAGAGAGGGGAGAGAGAGAGAGGGGATAGAGAGGGGAAGAGAGACATTGAAAGTGGGATGAAATAAGATTGAAAGACGGTGCATTACAAAATGAAAGGATAACTTATTATTGCAAACTAGAAAGGGGAGCAAAACTGATGCCATGGATAATTTGGGGGACAAAAGCTGTTGGAAATTCAGTGTTCAGTAAACAATCACTAAGCCTGTAACAATCGTTAACTCGTAGGGAAAAAAGAAAGCAAAAGCTGATTAAACAAAAGTTCATTTTCCATGATTGTGTAAATCAAAAAAGGTTCTGAAGAAAAGTAACTGTATATGTTGATTCGCAATATTTGGATAAAACCAGAGACTGCCACATTGTTAGAATTATATGGTACAGTTACACTGAACGTGAGACAAAAGTCGACTGTGGCAGACGAATGTTTATTTCATCGGTCGATCAAACCAAGTAAAGGGTTGCATGTTGGCACCTACAACAAAGCTACAATAATTGTCCCCAAAACAGAACGAGAAAAGCCACACGTAATTTTCTCTCCAGGCTCAGGTTTAGACGTGACAGACTGAGTTGAGTTTATGGTTGCAGCTGATGAGTGTTAATTAAGCTTTATCTGGGGCCGTTTCATAATACTTGTTATCGATAACAAATGTTAATTTCCGTGACAAATTTGCTCTCAACCAATCAGATTTCAGTAGCTTATAACAGTTATTGTAATTTGTTATTGATAATCAAGTTGAGGTACGACCAATGAGATGTTGGAATGGAGACGACATTCCAACCAATCTGAAAACCTGCATTATTCGAAAACGTATATAAAACTTTTATCAAAACGTCCTTACCTGACCCAGATTCGGTCGGTTGGTCGTCATCCTTTTTGATTTCTAGGTGAGATAGGAAACCATTATTAGAAATTGCTCGTTGGTCACATCATCATACTCAAAAGCTATACAGCACAATCGCAAAGGCTTTTGAGAAATCAACCTTCTTTTACATGTATAATCCATTAAATGCTCATCTGTACTAGTTTACAGGAGGGATTAGACCACCCTGCAAGGTCACTGACAGGTGGTTATCTCATCAAATCAGCTCTCACTTAACATAAGAAAAAGAGGACCATGGGGAACCAATGGTCACCGATTAGGCATTGTTTGCTATAAAGAGGGCGCAAGTAGCTGTAAGTAGTGCTGTGGGGCTTTAAATTTCATATTCGGATCTTGCAAAATTATCAATATTATGTTTGCACATTGCATAATTGGTACTGCCATTCAAATTTATTTAGGTTGATTTGTTTTAATGTCTTTGCGATCGGTTTGCAAACACAAAATAACAACAAAAAAAGATTTCGGAACGTCACAGTTCACCAACGGCCCCAGACACCGACAATGCCTGAGTTAAGAATCCTCCAACAAATTACACAACAAATACACTAAATTTCCAAAGATCATTGTTGCATGCACATGTTTTTACCAAACGCTGACCATTAGCCAATCAGAAACGGTGTTTCAATTTTGTAATTGATTGCAAACCATTCTGTTATGGGGCCCTGGTGAAATTGCTAACTGATATCATTATCATTAGACAATAATGTAACAATAAGCAATTCTGATGAGCATTTGCGTGATATGGAGTAGGAAAAAATGAATAAGCGTTGTTTCAAAGCAATAAATTATCGTATACCCTTACCCGATACAGTCCTTCTATCCGTGACTGGTGTGGTTAAAACTGCAAACAAAAAATCAAATCGAAAAAAGACTATATTCAATTATGTAATTTATTATGGGAAATTAAAACAGCAGAAAAAAACATCATGCCTCGCTACTGGAAGGACATTTATAATTGTTATATTTTTTTTTAAATTCTTTTCTCAGCATCTAAAATTCTTTAATTTATTTTGTATAATTAAAACAATTATATTTTCCTATCAATGATCATAGCAGGCCGAATACAGTTTTTGTATCCGCATACTATGTTGCTGTAATATTTATTTATCTATTTATTTATCGAAAGATATTCTTTCATGAAGAAGAAAAAGTTCAACAAAAGCTGACACGCAACAATAAAACAATTATGAATACAACAAGAATATGATAGTCATAAATGCACATTATAGCGGTGTATCGATTGCGTTGTGATCATGTTGAAACATAACTAAAGAGAAGGAGAATAGGAGAAAAAAGACAAGCTTGATAAAGGTTGGAAAGAGCCAGAGGGGAGAGGGAAAGAGACATACATACAGACAGGTAGAGAGAGGGGTAAAATACCAGAAAGGAGGAAGGGGAAGGAGGTTGGTAGATACTACTGAAAATATAATTTGTATTCAATGATTTTCGTAATCCTTTCGGTTCGCGCAGTTGCGCCATTTTAGAAATTATGGCAACTAGACCGATCAACTCACCTTCATCTGATGTCTCTTCCAGCGTACACGGATCTATATTAGCTGGGTGGTATCAAAATGTAACACATGTTATACGATTTCTGTTCAAGTATACCATAATGCTATGATCATGTGCAGTGAACTATACTAACATTAGCAACGCGATCGCAACGACTTTCAAGAAACCCTCTTATTACAGTGTATTATAGCAATTCCAATGGCCTCGTTCAATGGCATGCATATGCTGGATAGAAAATGATAACACTATTTTACAGGCAATTCAAAAGCCTACTTAAATTGCACGTGAGTTGATTTCTTGAAAGTGTTTGCGATGTATTCATTCAAATTTGATCAATAGGTTAGTAGCCCGACATTGAAGCGCTTATATTTGATATGAAGAGGTCCAATATTACACAAAAATTATTGTAAATGCTAATCCTAGTGTCCTTGTATTCAAGTACGTTTCATTAAATCCTGAAAGTCGTAATTTAGACTAGTAGAACTTGGAAAAAATGGAAAAGGGAGAGGGAGTGGCCGGTGACCCCATCAGATAATTCGTCGCTGTTTTCACGAAGTGACGGTAGTGAAAAAAAATTGCATTCACTTTGCGTTACGATTTTCCTCACTACCGTCACTTCGTGAAAACAAGGACGATTATTGTACGAAGATTCTTCCTACTTTTACCCTTTGTAATGCAAGTTTATTAAGGCTGGCTTGTTAATCATGCTTGGTGGATCTAGAATTCATATGCGAAAAGCCGTCAAATCTCTGACAAACATTTACAAACATTTCTGTTAACTACAAGAATACTTCGTTGATTTTACAGAGGGATTAGGGGCAGACACTAGTGCATCATAACCGTAACCCCCCCCCCCTCCTGCCCCTATTGGTTTTTACGATACCCGGGTGTAATTCGGATCATGGCGAAAACCTGAGGAGGGTCCGCTTACTTTTGAAACTCGAGTCTCTTACGACAAACTTGGCTCCTCTGCCCACGGTTCCTCCTCTAGACTCGTACTGGACGATCGCCACGTTGGTTGCCGTGGTAACGGGAGTTGGGACCTCACTACCGGACTTTTGGAACATCATCTGCCGTAGATCGGGACCGTCAAAGACACTCACTGAACCGGGTGCATTGATGGAGAGATCACAGAAGGTAACGTCCACGTTCGAACCAGCGGGGGCTCTATCATAAACGACATTAGAAAAAGTAAATAGGATTTTTGTTTAATGATCTGTATTCAAGAAGGTGTAACGAGAGGAACAGCTTTTCCTGCAAACATCAACCTCATTATTTTGACGAAATTCCTAGCTGACAGACTAACTATAGTACATTGGGTCTACGGAGCCAGGGGCACCCCTCCACTTCTCTCTCTCCCTCTCTCCCTCTCTCTCTCTCTCTCTCTCTCTCTCTATCTCTCATTTAATGGATGATTTACTTTCCAGCCGCCAATCACAGCCCGTTAACTTTTCGCGAGGTTTGTTCCTTTAGCTACCGCTGATATTGTCTGATTTCGCCTTTCTGTTCTTTCTTTCGTTTTACCGCGATGGTGGCAAGACGAAAAACTTAAGTATATGTTCGTTTCATTCATTTTCTTTTTTTTAGTTTATTAAAATTAACATTTTTCAAATCCATTTATGATAATACTCTTACCTAATGACCCACGCGCATGAGTGAAAGGCCCCTGTGAGGAGAGGGTAGCTTGGTGTGGTGATAGTCAAGGTTGGTAGATCCTCGTTCAGATTTAGAACTCCACCGCATTCGGTGAAGATTTCACCAGAAGTCCAGTTGGTAAAACCTAGGAAAGGAAAAATGAAACACGGGACTCGGTATATTTGTTTTCATGTGTTTGCTTTTTAATGTTATATACCGAACATGTTGATTCTGGGCCTCTGATTGGTCAAAACTGCAGGCATAACGATTGCTACGGACCATGCATGCTGACTGCGGGGCAATAAGGGAGTTTACAGATACAATCTGCGCATGGGCAGATAAAGGTCATTTGTACCAAAATGGTAAAACCCAAACTGAGATGAATACTGGATATGCGCTCATGAAAGTTATGTAACATTATTCATATATGCACCAACGGTACATTCTATGATACGCAGGTGGAAGTATTCTTTTCAAGAGGTCAAACAAAAGGTATTCATGAATCACATCTATGACTTTGGCAGTTATTATTCTAAGATGCTCAAAGTGGAACTTCTCCATGTGTAAAAGATCTGTGGATATTTGGGGTCATTTGTACCATGTGCTATCTGTAAACTCCCTTATATGGCGAAATACTTGCACGTACGATGCAAGGATGCAATAGATACACGTTAAGTTCACAATGGATACGCGCAATGAGACACGCGCAGGACTTCCTTCGGCTCTACAAAATAGATACGCTTTGGCAGGCATAGTTTCATTAAAATGCCTCTCTTTTTTGTAACAATTGACAAAAGTGAGAAAAAAATATTATCTTCATATTTTTCGGGTCACGGTTAAAACTATATAGCTCTTCAGTGATCCGGTGACTGTTCGATACTGTACTATGCCCATCGGCTTCATCTCTCACAGTACAGTTGCGAGATCACCTTTAGCAGTAGTTTTAACCGTACCCCTAAATGCAGTCAAAATGTGGAGACTATAATAATAACTAGATTTGTAATACTTGTTTGGAACAAGTATAGGTGGGCTGGTCCAACAAAATTAAGGGCACATTTGAGATATCTTATTGTCTCAGCTACAACAAACTCGAAGTACAGCGTAAACGAAGCTAAAACGACGTAGATATTGCTCGCGAAAGACGGGAATGTAGAATCGAGTTTTGAGAAAAAGTCATGTCCCATAGAGAATACGCGCTAAATGTGAAAAATTGACATGCCTCCTTTAATCGCAAAAATACGCCATGATGCCTTTGTCAAAATAAAGAATAATTGCAACTGCATCTGTAGAAAATTGTCTCAACTAGAACGTATCAAAATTTGGAAGAAAATCGATCAATATTTACAGAGATACAATCAATTTTCTATAAATATGCTGACGTCATAATATGCAAATTGGAATTTTGAGTTCGGAGGCCATTATGATGACGTCATGAGTTAATTGAGGATCAAATGAGACATGAACAAATATCTCCGAATCATACTCTATTAAAATATGAAAAAAATTGGCGTCACCTTGCATTCTAAAGAGCTACAATGGATTTTGTATAGGCATGTTTTTGCCCATATATGCTATGTATTACAAGAGCTCGCGCGCACGGAAATTTTGTTTAACGGTCGATCATTCCGTTTTTAATAGTCATAAAGAAACAAACATGGTATCAATTTGTTTGTAAATATATGTGAAATATTATGAAAGAAAAAAAAAAGGCAATTCTATTTTGTGTAATAGTTTTACGCGCAAAAAACGCGCACGCATGCGTATGTGCGCGATTTTTTATAAAATGCTTAGAATGGCCTAAAACGTATGCAAAAATGATTTTGAGGAGATTTTGAGCATTTAAACATTTTGCGCGCGCATTGACGCGCGGACGTACGCGGATGCGCGCGTTATTTGACCTGTAATTGACCGGACGGATATTGACCTTAATCATGATAAATATGAATGAGAAACAACCTTTGGTTATGAAGATATGATCATGTGTTGATTTTCGCAAAATTTTACAAAATGGCGCCTAGATGACGTCATCGGTGAAGGTCAATGTTGAAAACGTTATAGTGCTTTGTACATATGCCAATACTTATGTGTGCCAAATTTCAAGGCATTTGATTGAGCCATTTCCAAGTTATCTAGCCAACAAAAAAGTGGTTAGAAATAAGAAAAATATATAATAAATAAATAAAGGCAATTCTAACGAAATTATAAGGTGGTCTGTACGATATACAGCCCACCTGATAAAAATAATATTGGATTCTTATATAGCGCACGTATCGACCTTGTAAAGGTTCTCAAGCACATCTTGCTCTTTGTAAGCTATCTCCAGTTTTCGAGAGATCATAATGGTCATTCCACACAAAATAGCATGTTACCCCTCCCCCTACGCCCCCCCCCCCCCCCCCCCTCGCAATCCTAGATCAGCGACTACATACCTTTGGGCACGAACGTCATCACTGCTAGAAAACCGCCTTGTAGTAAGTTACTGTATTCCCCTCCAGAAAACAAAACCTCCGATTGGTTGTTGCCTGTCTGGAGACGATTGGCTACCGGGAAAGGAATATTCTCCATTTCCAGGAGCTGGATGCCATCCTGCTCTACGCCAAAGGACTGGGTTACGGGATGGACGTAAGGTAGGTCCAGGATCAACTGCGTATTTGGTGGACTGTGGAAGGTCCAGAAGCAAGAGTAGCCGATGTTAGGAGCTGTACTTGGGAAGTTGAGAGAGCTGAACTCGTAGCGCGGCTGTTCGTGGTCAAGATACACCACCTGGCCGCAGGATGGATGTGTCTCGTAGAGATTCCAGGAAAAGTCGTCTGCAAAAGAAAATAGTGCGGAAATTTCGTATAAAAAAATTTCCCCGATTCTTCAGAAAACAAAACCAAGTTTTAAAGAACGCACCCATGGTCTAACATTTTAAACATTACACCCAATAATGTGTGCTTTGCCGATACGGCATTTGTGTTATACATAAACGTATACGAAGGCTCTATGACACTTGCTAGTTGCTACAACCATGGATAAAATACAAGACCTTACCCCAACGGTACCTAACCTAAAACAAGATTGTAACCTTAACCGTCACTTTATGTTTTTGACGAAATACAGCTCGAAGCAAATTTTGCAGAAGCATAATTAATGTCGGGTCACCTATTCGAAATAATAGGCCTACCATCCACACACAAAGATGTGCTTCAACTTGAACCTTACCTGAAACAGAAGCCGTTAAAGTGAAACCCCGCCCATTTCGGCCGAACATCCGACGATCCTCAAGGTTGACAAGCATACCTCCTTCAGTGGATACGAGCAAGCGTCGCTTCTCCTCTCCGTAGAGGAACTCTAACGGAATCTTGGAAGAATCGGATCGGCCATCGAAGATCTTCAGAGTCTCGAAAGGTGTTGTGTCGGTGTCTTGGATCTCGAGGCGGATCTGTTTACCGGCCGGGGCATTGAGGTACCACCAGCAGGTGATGATGCTCCCATTTGTTTCTGGCTTGTTGTAGTAAGGTGAACTGATGTTGAGGGTTGGCATTTCAGATTCATCCAGGAAGTACGTTCCACCGCAGCTGTAAGGCATTACTACCTCGTCTTTGAAAAAAAGAAATAGTTGACAATGAAAACATATTGCGAGTCCCCCAAACCTACAATGCCATACGTATTAAGTAATCTTTTTTTTTCTTCTCCATTTCATCGGATGGAAATTTTATCAATATTTTGCACCACTTTGTAACGTCAAACATTAATGCTAGTGGTTATTCGGTAGAGTTGTCTTAATGCGTCTTTGGTTTGTTATGGCTCATTCCCTACAGAAGGTATTTTATATATTAAAAGAAAAGGACAAAATTCCCTTAAAAGCGTGTGGTATTATGCGACAGTGCTAGTTCCCAATGTTGATCAGTGTTAATTAAAGACTTGACCTTTTCTGCTCACCTGTTATTTCTACTGTCACGTGGAATCCATTTCCCACTTCAAGGGCGCCCTCACGCTCAAGACCGAAGAGTATAGCATTCGTTGAAGAGATGAAGGGCGCAAGTCCCCAGTTGACCTGGCCTTTCAGTTTGATCGCTCTGGAGCTTGACTGAATGGCTCTTCGGTCATAGACAATAATGGCTTCGTTCTTGGTATCTACCTTGTTCCAAGTTACTGGCACAAAAACATTGAGAAGTTGAGATGGAAGGAAGAGCGGATAGTGGATACGATCTCAAAGACTTACGATAAATCAACTCAAGGCCAATGTCAATACCCTATTATATTTCTAATGTTCGGAGTACATCCATGCAATTTCCGTGCATTTCAAAAGGTATTAAATGGGGAAAAGGTATTGAAAATATCATATGTTGATTTTTCGAAAGTCTTTTCCATCGCGTTTTGAACAGTTAAAAAAAAGAATTAAAGAATTAAAAATGAAAGGAGACAGACAGACAGATGCAGATGGAGAAGAGAAATTAAGGATTATAGAATGGATTTTTTTGTTCATTTACCGTGCAGGTGTCACTTTCGTCAGACAAGGGGTGGCAACGCGCGACATTGATATTCCCAATTACAAACCCAATTGCGTTTCCTTCAAATAGTTCTAGAAAGACTCCGCCTATAGTAACATGCCACTTATCTTCGACTTCTGGCTAAAGAATCTTAAAATCATATAGACATATTCGTACTGCAAATGCATGTAAACAGCCGAAAAAATTCATACAGCCCTGAAATCATGTTAGATCAGAGAACTTTTCAAGATTGTGTTAACACTAGATTTCGTACCATCAAAGTGAGGACATGTTTAACTAAAGTCTAAAGTGAGGCTATGTTAATGTTGGATTCCATAGAACAAGTGAACCTGAATACCAAAATTCGCTTACTCTTAACACGCTTCTTGCGAGGGGCTTCGACCACCCATCTGCATGACGCCTGGCCGAGGGGCTTGGGTAAGAGGGGTACAGTGACACCGGAAGAGCTGTAAGGAGCACGGATGTCCACTACCGGTTCTTTCTTGGAGAGGACAATTTTTCCACCGCACGATCCTGGACCGGGGTTCTGCATTTCTTCTGATGGCCGTGACAAACGAAAAAAAGAAAGAAGAAATCCATAAGCCTATACTGACAGCCGATCCGATATTTAGGTGATTTATATTGCCCATTCATTTATGCCCAACTCATCTAATATCAGGAATATAATGAGTATTGTTCGTTAACAGTTTAAACTGGCAATAGACGTTGTCAAAATTATCTTTCAGATGCTTTGCTTTCCTAAGAAGTGAATAAGTTTTCCAAGATAGAAATTTGATAAATCAGTAAAGCATTAGTTCCCTATAGGCCTATAGTTTTTTTTTAAACAACGTTGGAATAATGTCAATAAAGATCCATATACTTCGAAGGGTCCAAGGTGAGCACAGTGCCAAATTTTCCACTCCGTTCAAATAAATGTCCTTATGCATCATGATAAATAAACCAAATTTGATCGTGACAAAGAAATTGGAAAAGAATTCATTCCAAATTAAAACAATTATTGTCCTTCATTAACAGAATTATGGCGAATTATACAAGAAGAAAAAGTTGGCATTATGCACTTCATAAATCGATGATGTTATCTTATAGGAAGGGGTTCAGATCTTTCTTAAAGGTCAGCGGCTTTCACGAATACGGGCCAGTAATAGACTATGAACAATTGGAAAGTAAGTGTTGTGTTCTAACCTTTCATTTGCCATCAGTGCCAATATATATGGTCACTCGTTTGTCACACGTGCAGAACGGCACAAAACAATAGGCACAAAATTAACGTAAGGGTTTCTTTGTGCCACAACAGTGGCTTTGTACAATTTTCCGTTGGCTCAATGACTCTACCCCTTTAACACCTGTATAGATTACTCTCGCACTGGAAATGGTTACGTAATCTTCAGGCACTTTGTGTAACTACTTCACGATATAAATGCAATGTGGCACAGGGAGATAATTTGTGTGGAATGAAAAAGAGATGAATAAGATTATGCACGCTTTACTGAGATAAATGATGTGAATTTTATAAGCATTCAACATTCGTGACGTCATTACCTGTCAAGCTCACGTCTGCAAGGAAACCACGCCCATCTCGCCGACGGGCTGCATTGTTGTACTTCAAATAAAAACCGGTCCTTTGAGAAATCAGCGGTGCGATGGGATAATTCAGAGCTCCTGTAGCGGATTGTAATATTTGATGATTGTGATGAATCAACATGGTAATGGTTGCGCAATTGCGAAACAGTTTTGAATCTAGACAACTTTATATTAGGCAATACACGATATTTGACAAGAACTTCATAAACAAAGACAATTCTATGTCACTTTGCTTACTTAATCTACATGATCTAGAACCTTGCTATAGATACATGCGCTAGGATACACTGTCTGCCCCTGTTTTGGGGTAAAATTGACATATTATAAGTGGAGGTTTCTACCTTTCTGTGTAAATAGACGACCCGATATTATTATCGATATAGGCCTAATCATAAAACAACCATACTGTAACACTGCACGATTGCAATTCCTGTAGGTTGATTTTTCGAAAGTCTTGGCAATCATTATGTAAAACAAAATACCTGTTAGTGCCATGGTGTAACTACCCTGCGTTGATTCCCGGGAATACACCGTCAACGTTTCCCTCATGGTCGTATCAACGTCCCGCAAGGTCAGGCGGACCTTGTATCCTTCCGGGGCAGGTAACCGCCAGGTGCAGGTGTACGGAGTCGGTGGGAAGCGGCTGTCGTAGTAGTTGGGCATGTAGATGGTTGTATTGGGCTCGGCTTGTGTAAGGGTGACGTCATTGTGACAGGTTTGTGCTCCCGTAGCGTCTGTATGTTTAGGAAGAAGATAAAAACATCTAATCGAAAGAGGGTACAAATTATGCAATATTAATAAAGTGATAGTCGTGATGATTATTTAAAAAATTAACACGATGATAAAAGAGATCATAGTATCGGCCAGGCGCGTACGCACATATAGAAACGTTTGCTTGTATTTGTCTCAAAATAAGTTGACCACAAACTGACTCGCGCACTGTGTTGAGTGCATAGGGGTCACGGGCCACTGGCTTCATCGGGCAGGTAGTTCCATTATGTGAATGGGTAAATTAACTATTACAAAATGAGGGGACACATTACATTGTACAATAGGGACACACATTGTATTTATTGTGCTGAACATACTCTTTTATTGAATTACTTATTGCATGAAACTATAAAACCAAAATGCATTTTGTATTCTAACAATTGAAGTACAAAGAATAATAATAGGTGAATGAAATGCATAAACACCACAAACACCTGGGGAGGAAGCAGTCATAAATTTAAATAATTTAGTCCATAAACGACTCCGATGAAACTATAAAAACAAAATGGAATTTGCGTTCTGGCAATTGGAGTACAAAGAATGATAGCGGGTGAATGAAATGCTTCAACAACACAAACACCTGGGAAGGAAGCATCCATAAATTTGAATAATTTAGTTTATAAACGACTCCGCATGTGGACGTTTGGTGAAGCAGAAAGCAGTGGATTCTTAACAACACGAACCCATTTAACAGAATGTCGGAACGTAAATTAAATTTGACGCGGTTGGAAAATGCATCTTTCTACCCTGCGACTTTAATGGTACGATCCAGTGAATTAAAACAGTAAAATGGCTCTTATTTTAAAATTACGCATTAAATAAAACCCAGAACTTCAGTGATATCAGACAAAATATGTTATATCTTACTTATAATTAAAAAAGATGTATAAACATTGTGAAAGTGTAGCATGACGTCATTAGTGCACTTGAATCAGGGAATTCAAGGTCAAAATGTCAATTCAGACGCTGATGAGTTATTGGTCAATCCTTTTTGTTTCCTTTATTCCGACAAAATTATTCTATCAATCAAAACAAGTTTAATACCAGAAGAAAGCTAACGATTAGTATTTTCATTTTACCGCTTGCCCCAAAGTCGCTTGACCACAGTGAAACGAGTGAGAGCTTGCGAGAGCGACCAAAGTGTGATTGAAACTCGCTATTTGCTCTTCTCCAACGCAAAAAGAGACGACATTGTGCTGGATAAATGCATTTTTTCCGACAAAAGTACAACAAATTTGCATATGGTCTTTTTATATTATACTTTATGAAATGTTACCCGAGTGACTTCCGGGCGTCCCAATGCTGGAAAGAAACGCACATTTTAGAAAACTTTACTTTTTCATGGAAACATGCCTATTTGTTCTTTGCACGCAAGTCGGATTGAGCGGATGATACGACGTGTCCTTATGGGGGTAGGGGGGGGGGGGGTGGGGTTAAACTGCCCCTTCAGTTTATGTTATGTGTATGTTTATTGAGAACCCCCCCCCCCTAAAAATCCTAATGGACGACCTAAAAAATATGACCTTACCACCCCCCCCCCCCCCCCAAGGAAACGGATTGTCGATCGGTCCAATTTTCAAATTTCGGGACCAAAAAAAAAAATATATCCTCTTACACCCCCCCCCCCACGCTTATTCTTATTCTAGTCTAGTCGTTGCGAAATTTTTGGCCCGATTTCAAAATGTTAACCCCCCCCCCCCTTGAAAATATCCTGCATACGCCACTGGTATCGGCTAATGGTTTGATGGTTTGTTTTACCTGATTGCTAAGAAAGCATTTCTATGCTTTAAAAGGGTAACCAGGAGACCAACAGCTTTAAGTCCTCTCCGAGGGATTTGGTAATGAGGACTTATGCCTTACCAAAGAGCACTGCAGCGCATTGACTTGGTTGCGAACCCATGATCCCCCGGTTACGAGACCACTACTATGTTATTATCATTTCTATTTCAAGATTGAATGCGCCTGAAAATGAGATTACATCTTTTGGGTCATAACTTGGACTTTTAACTCGAAAATGACTGCGATGAACCAAATAGGATCAAAAAGGGCTATCGATCATCCGTAATGAATATAAGAAAAAAGTGAATCATCAATTAAAGTCACCTAAAGAGTTTAAACAAGAACATTCTCACACTTTTTGCGCAAAAAGTTTACTAGTTTATGAATTTCTTTTAGTGTGTGAGAAGGGAAAAAAAAATTTGACTTTAAAATGATAAAAGATACTATTGAAAAGATGATTGAGTGGGCAAAGAGTGTAAAATATGTATCCGTGGTGACAATAAAACCCGAAATTCGTGCATGCCTGTACCCCCTCTACCCAACATGCCCTCTGCCCCCCCCCCCCCACACACACACACATGCACGCATACACACTTTGAAATAATATGAAGTATAATTTGAACTCCCAATAAATAGTTATAAGAATATTATCTTGATTTAATCTACATAGATTAAGTTTGGAAAGATTAAAATTTAACTTTTGAAGCAACATTTATAACTAAATTATTGAGTAAACATCTGAAACTAAATTGTTAAATAATCATCTAAAAAAACCAAGAAATTCGAGGCTTAGGGCCTACCTAAACGTTCATAACTACAAAGAACACATTCCTATTGTTACAATCCAACATATTGATATAGGCAGTCAGATAAAGCATTTCTAAAATGGTATCACTCCTTTGTCTTCTTAAACGTTGATTTATCATTTTCTTTTTTATAGTACAGGTCCATCGAATCTCAAATCTAAAAAAAAAACTGTGTTTCTTACCGTAAAGTAATTGAACTATCAAGAACAAGAAAGCAGTTTGCACTGGATGGAAAGCCATGATCGTATTTGTCAGCACAATGGCTCTCAATGAAGTAGAGATTGCTGTTACCAAAGTCAGGCTGCACGTAATCAGTCATTTCATAACATTCAAAGGCGGGATTGTGTTATCTGTTATTTGACCATTTCCTGATTACATGATCAATTAGCGATCTCTTATAAAAGAGTTTGTGAACTTTTCGTGTTTTTTTTCTGCAGCTCGTATTGTTTCTCTGACCACCAAGCGTACCCACATTTCCCCAGTTTTGCAGTCGCTACACTGGCTCCCAGTAAAAGATCGCATTGTTTTCAAAATTTTGTTGCTTACCTTTCATTGCGTTCACGGCTCTGCTCCTCAATACCTTATCTCTCTAATCCAAAACTATACTCCTGCAAGACCTCTACGCTCATCCACTTCCAATTTTCTTGTAACCCCCAAAATTACCAAAACGTGGGGGGAAAGATCATTTGCATACTCTAGTCCTAAATTATGGAATGGCCTTCCTGAAGACATCAAAAAATGTTTATCCTCTGATTCTTTCAAAACTCATCTCAAAACATTTATTTTCAAGTCTTGATCTTTTTTCCTGTTTACACGCGCCTTGAGCACTCCACAGAGTGGATTTGGCGCGATATAAGTTACATTATTATTATTATTATTATTATCTGTATGGGAATGAATTCCTTTGTATTTTAACATGAAAATATTTGCTTTCTAACTACCCTCATATTCCAAACAGCTTTGGATCGAATTTCGATGCCACATCTGTGTGTAGTCCTATACCCATTATTTGTGTAAAGTGCTCTCAACGCCAGCGTTGTTCAATTTTTAATTTTAGTCCTTATTTAGGAATAAGAAAAATTAGCGTTACCCCCATCACAAATTTATCACAAAAGATTTGTTTTTCGCCATCTTTTAGCATGATCAAATCAACCTGTTCTCATTTTGAGAATCCCACGATCCATAATTTGTTTTAATGAAGTACAAACTAAACGTATGCAACGCTTTACAATTTCTTTCACAGTGCATTCGCATATTCGACGGCTCACGAGACCGAAAGTACATGAGACTGAAAATGTCGGTCAATGTTGTGGGTCTTTTATCAAATAGCCACTCTTCAGAGGGGTTTCACTAGTCTGACCGCAAACGAAACCGCCATCTTGTTTTTTTCTTTCCTAATTGTGTATTTTTCTGTACTTATGTTTGATAATTCGGTCTTATTTACCCAGGATACCCACGTCAGTATAATACCGCTCTTCCCGAGGGCCCTGCACTTATTATTACCCCAGCAGTGCCAGGTACCCATTTACACCTGGGTGAAAGTGGCACATGTGGATTAAAGTCTTGCCAAAGGGCGCTAGTCCTTGGATGGGATTCGAACTCTGAACCCCTGGATTGGGAGTCAAGTGAATGAACCTGATTTTATCTGATTTTATCTGATTTTATCGGTCCCGTTGGCCTTATTCGACTTTATTCTCTATTAATATTTTATTCTGTTATTTCTTTGTTTGTCGGTCTAGTGACCTTTATGTCACCATCGGTCTCGTGGGCTTCCGAGCTACTGAGATGACCCCTATTTGTATGACCAGTATTTTCAAGCCACGGACTAAAAAGAGTGAGCGCGGACAATTCTTATCTCTAAACATTTAAATTACTTTCAAATCGTAATTTTAGGCAGTACAAGCCATCCGTTTCTCGGTGTCCATTTCCTGTTTGTGGTTGACAATGTCAGCTGAATTGTGCTTATCAAGATGCAATTGTAGACACCCAGACACTGGGATAAACAAGGTTTCAAAACTAAAAGTTCGATTTTGGTTCAGGTTAAAAATAGGTTACTAGCTTTGTCATTCTCTTTGTATTAGTTTGTATTGAAGGATATTTGTTTATTTGTTTTTTGATTTTTCGTTTTTAACACAATACGTAATCATAAATATAGATTAACAACTATTCTTCTTAATACATAATTAAAGAGTTGTCAGTACATTGAATAAAATGACTACAAACATAAATATTTGTCAATGAAAGGAGATAAAGTAGGCTACATAGAAGAAAAGTCTCCTGGAAATAAAGACTCTTCAAACGCTTTCATATCTAATATCGGCATAAGAATATGTGAACTAGAAAATAAAGTACATGAGGAAATACTGTCATGATATGCATACAATAATCGTATTTAAAGAATAATCGTATAACGCATTAGGGTATTTTTGCAATTGAAATTTGAAAGTATAGGTTGTTGTACGTGCGTTTTGTTAGACTAGTCTACAAAGAAGGAAAAAAGAGAGACAACCTCGTTCAGTATGTCAAAAGAGAAGAGAAAGAGAGAGAAAAATGTTCTCTCTCTCTCTCTCTCTCCTTCCCTAACCCTGTCTTCCTTGTCCCACTTTTTCTGGGCGCGTTCATGCTTGATTTTGAAGGCAGAATGAGCGATTTGTAACGCTCATCGTAAACGCTCATCGTAATCGCAGTTCCACGGTGCACTGTTCATGCTCACTTCTCCAGGCAATTCTCCTTGGGTGGCCTTCAGCTGGATTCGCAAACCTGCAAATCAGTGCGTTGACCCCATTTAAACGCGTTTACAAATTGTAAACGCATCTTTTTGTGAGTTTACGATCGGCGATCGTGATCGCCGTTTTTCGGTGATTCTACAAAAGTGAGCATGAACGCAAGCGTGTTTTAAACTAAACGCGTAACAGATGCCTGATTCTGGCCGTCAAAATCAAGCATGAACGCGCCCTTAGACTAGTCTAGATAAGAAAAAAAGAGACAAACTTTCTCATGATCTCGGAAGAAAAGAGAAGGAGAAAGGGGACAAGTAGTACAAGGGAGAAAGAGAGAGAGAGAGAGAGAGAGAGAGAGAGAGAGAGAGAGAGAAAAGGGGGGGGGGGAGAGGGAAGAAAACCAAGAGATCCCATCGATTTCGATAAAACTAAGATATATCTTGACTGAATATATCACCCAGAAAAATGATATCCATTGGAGATACACAGTGTAGTTTTTTTTAAAATTCAAATTCAATAAATTTAGTTGACTTTAACAGTTCATATAAGCTTAAAGAGTAGTCACCAGTCTCCCCCCTCCCTCTCTCTCTTTCTCTCTCTCTCTCTCCCTCTCTCTCCCTCTCCCTCCCCTTCCCCAAGCCCCAAAATGCACATTTACAATACACACATGATCATAAACACATACATGTTCATGCTGGGGGCAATTAATTTAATATACATGTAAAGAGGTGTAGAAGAATGGTTATGAAATTCTGTCTGCCTGTGTAAACATAGCTCTCCAAGACCGAAAAACGGAGCACCAAAACCTTAAATCTAAAGATGACCTAAAATGTTTTCACGCTAGCCCTGCATCAATCAGTGCCCAAACATAATTGGTGTTTGCGCCATCTACGGTTCATGGTTTCAATAATAATTCACTTTTGAGTTGCTATCTGTGCACGTGCAGATAAAAGTCATTAATTGTACAAAACTGTAGAACCCCTTGAGACGAACGCTAGATACGTGTTCATAAGAGTTATGAAATCATTAGTCATTAGTGCACCTTTGGTTTATTCTATGGTACACAGGTGGAATTATTATTGTCAAGCGGACAAACAGAATGTATTAATGAAGAACCTCTATACATTTAGCAGGGATCATTCTAAAAAAAAATAACAATTTGGGACGTCTCGATGGGTAAAAGATCTGTGGATATTGAGAGCTAATGTTTACAAGTGCTATCTCATACATACACGTACATGTATGATTACGGGCCTGAAGAGAATGATGGATCAATTCTAAGACGCTTTGTAATAGAGGCTTCCTTCCCTGCAGTGTAAATTCATATTTCCAAAGAGAATAAAACAACTGTTACAGAACTCCAACTCCTCATCTGCCCGATGTCAATCAATTTGTATTCCTTCTTTTCTCTTCCTTCCACTGAAAACGTCCTAAATATAGATCCCAGTTGGTGTAGGATATTGCGCTGAGCAGAAATGACAAGATCAATAGGAAATGGCTTCCTAAAACCAGACAATTTTTTTCATCTCTACCCTATAAAGAGATAATTGACAAGTGAGATCCGGAGAGACAGAGGATAAGTGATGTCTTCTGGTCAGTCTAAGACGAAGGAAAAATGTGTAAGAAATATGGGTGAAATAAAAAAAGAAAAAAAATCCTTGAATCGCATTAATTACAAGTGTACTTGTACTTGTGATGATTTCGTGAGATGATGCCCTAATCTTCAATTATGATATGTTATAGAGCAAAGAAATAGCCCATATCTCTTCGACTACAGGTCTCTGTTTTCGAAGGTTCGTAATTCCGAAGCATGATAGTTTTGAAAATGAAAAGATTCAGAGTTCGTAATTTCGAAAACAAAAAAAGTGTATAACTCCGTAAATGCGGTATACAGCAGGGGCGGCAATCCCGGGGGTACCGGGAGACACGTCGCCCCTCAACTTTTGTAGGGAGGGGTCATCCCTTTTAAGAAGTCCATTCCTGCCTGGTCATAAACATGTTGTCACCTTATTGGAAATGGTGAACATCTTTAAAAATTATAAAGTCAAGGTCCTTCATTACATGACTAAATTTCAGTACTTAAATGATTCACGTACATTCAGAAATCCCGTCCATGCCCAAGCTTCCTACTTACTAAAATGTACCTTCTTAATATGTACAACCCTTCGGAAAAAGTAAAGTAAAGTGAACACAGAACACCTCAGAATGTTGAACTCTTTTTCATTTTTGCTATTATAAACCCCCTGGTATGGGAAATTTGTGTTTCCGAATTACATGCATGAACCTTCGGAATCTTAACCTTCGCAATTATGGCCCTTCGAAGAAAAAAACGAGTTTAGGCCCTATAGCCCCCATTTCTTCGACCCCGAATAAAGTTCACAAAACTGGTCGCGAAATTACACTCAGTATCATGGACCCCTCGTGGTTGCGATGGATATATTAATATAATATACATGTTAAGTGGAAACCAGGCTATTTTTGGTCGCGCCTTTGGCTAAGCCTCCCGGGGAAGGATTCAGGATATTACACAAATGGGCTCATCGTCCTCTTTAACGATAAAGTTGAGTTCTGGTCATGCGGATTGCAATGTGAAAAAAATCACGGCGTGGAAGCAATTGGAAAG